TGGGAACAGTGTCTTCAACAACTAAACAAAAAAAACCCCTATTTGTTACACTAAGTCCATGCTTTGCTATATCTCAAAACTGGCACAAACTTGAAATAACCAGCAAACAAGGCATGGAACCACGGGTTTTCCTGATAGAAGCTCACGCCAGATTCAACTTCCCCTCCTCCCATCAACATCAGCCTGCTGGTTATTTTGGAAACAGGACCTGACAGGAATGATTACAGTCACTGCAAGTCCAAAGGAGAAAAAAGCAAAACCCAAACCCATACTGTTTATTAACATTCATCTATAAAAACTGAATTCTTCTACCTTTCCTGTACACTACATATATACTGTGATTCTGTGTGATTCTGTGGTTACTACCCAATTCACCTGCTAAATCAGTCAGGATCTTGAGATAGGTCATGCACTACGTCATACACAACCACTAGCAGGAGAGAGAAAAAAAAACACTTAAAATGTGCAGGGGTAGTGGTGGTGGGGTGTTAAGCAGTATTTGGACGATTTTAGTAACAGTAATGAAAGTGGAACACTATGCCACAGTATTTCAGCTGTGCTACAAGCATGTGCTACAGAAGTTTTCTTTCAAGCTTGTGTCATCTACCTATCAATAAGGTCTGCTATCACTCTTTAATTTTTTTATTGTTACCGTTCTTCACACATTGAGGTATTTTAGAGGCATTCATACAGATGCCTTTCAAACCTCTTTTTTGTCAGTATTACACGCATGGCTTTTCCCATACAAAACGTAAATTGTGTTACATGTTCTAATGACCCCATCTGATCAGAAAACACAGCTTTTTGCTTTGTACAGCTAAAAAAGAAATCTTTGAGAGAAAAGTTTAGGGCTAGATATTTGCATGCATAATTTTTTTTTATACCTGTAAACTGGAGTATTGTAAGAAAATCAGAAGGCTAACCTTCATATTTCAAGGCAGAAACTAATCTGAAGAAAGATTTAATAAGTCATACTTAAGCTAGTTACTCCATGGATCCCCTTCTCAAAAGCAGCTGATATTTGCCAGTGTCGAACCAGGATGCTATATAGATGAACACTGGTTCAATCAACTACGTATTCCCGTACCACTGAAAAAAGTACCCAGTAACATTACAGAGAAAGAATAAAAAAGACAAGCAGGAACAATAAGCTTTTTTTTTTTTTTTTTAATGCATTCTCCACTTTTGGAGATAAAACACACAGGGACTTTGCGTTCTTCTGCTCCTGAGAACAGTTTTGGTGCCTAACTGATACTGAAGACGTTACTTGTCTGTCTGCTGTAAATGGGAAGATCAGACAAACAACTAACTCCTTCCTCCTCCTCCTCTTCACAAAGCTGCCACAGGGCTGGGTAAAAGGACAAAGAAGAGGAACCCCCTCATGCGAAGTCATGAAACTGTGACCACAACAAGAGCCAGGAAAGCGGAGGGGTGTGGGTTAACCAAAGCACCCATGCAAACACCAGGTAAGGTCTGACATCCTCAAATGGCTCCTAAGTAAACCAGGGGATAATCTCTGACAGCTCTTGTCACCTGAAGTCTGCATAATGACATTTCAGATGTCCAACTCCTATGACCAAGAGGCTGAGAGAAGCAACACAACTGTGCTCTGGAGCAGTGGGCCACCAGCCAGCAACTTTTCCCCCCAAAAATACTGTTCACGCAGGCGCTGGTCGGAGATGGCACTGCTTTCCATGTTTTTACTTTTTTAAATACGAAGTCTGTCAATCTATTCATCTCATTCACATGTCAGGTGGTTGGTTCTGACACCCTGGGATTAAATACTCTATTAGAAGCTACATAGCTATTAAGTTAGCTTTTTACTGTCTATTATGAGCAACAGCAGGCACCTATTCTTTTGGGAGCTAAGTAGCTCCTACACAGATAAAATGCAAAGTCAATACTTGACTTTGCATATCCAAATGTCAATACATGACATGCTCACTTACTTCTTTTCATAACTAGTTTTAGTCATTAATTTTTCAACAGGCACAACTTTAAGAAATATTTTTCTTCACAAACCAGCTCTCTCACCTCAATTACAGCTGTTTCAATCTAATAATCAGCTACTGAAGCACACGCAAAGTATCTGCTCAATCTTGACTTTTTGATTCCTTATATAAGAAATCTCTTTAGGAATTAAAAATATTTCATTAAAGCTAGCTTATAAATACGATTTCTTACAAGTCTGACAGTACAGGTACTTCCTTCAGAGCACAGTAATGTATTTGTAGTCAGAAAAAGCAACAAAGCCAGAATATTTTCACAGCTGAACAATACAATCTCATTACTAAACCCCATCTTACAGCAATCGCCATGTTTGTTTTTAAAGAAAGTTTTTATTTGACTGAGAATAACTTTTCATACTTTTTCTTCTAGGGTATTTATGGAGTTCAATAACTATTCCTAAATTCAACTAAAACATGATGCCTGGAAATCACCACCCTGAGGAATACAGGATTGCATCACTGGTCTTTTACAGTTTCGTATTCACAGTGGGATTGTTGGTGAATGCCACTGCACTATGGGTTTTCAGCTGCACTACCAAGAAGAGAACAACTATAACTGTCTATATGATGAATGTGGCATTACTTGACATAATTTTTATATTTTCCTTGCCTTTTCGGATAATCTACCATGCAAAAGAGACATGGCCTTTTGGAGATACATTCTGTCGGATTATCAGTGCTTTCACTATATTTTATCCAGCCATTGCTCTGTGGTTGCTCACTTTTATAAGCGTAGACAGATTTATGGCTATTGTCCAGCCCAAACATGTCAAAGAACTAAAAAATACAAAAAAAGCCGTGCTGGCTTGCACTGGAATCTGGGTAATGACCCTTGCAACAACGTCCCCATTGCTGTTTTTACAATCTGATCCAGACAAAGCCTCGAATTTCACTACCTGCATCAAAATGCTTGATATCATCCATTTAAAGGAAGTAAACACACTGAACTTTTCTCGCTTGATTTTTTTCTTTTTGATTCCCTTGTTTATCATGATGGGGTGTTACTTAGTCATTATTTACAATTTTATCCGCGGCAAGGTTTCCAAACTGAAGCCTAAGGCCAAGGAGAGATCCATAAGAATTATAGTTACTCTGATTGCTCAAGTACTCATCTGCTTTGTACCCTTCCACATTTGCTTCGCCTTCCTGATGTTGCAAGACAAAGATACAACTTACAGTCCCTGGGCAGCCTTTACCACCTTTCTCATGAATCTCAGTACGTGCCTGGACGTTATACTGTACTACATTGTTTCTAAACAATTTCAGGCGAGAGTCATCAGTGTAATCCTTTATCGCAATTACCTTCGAAGTGTGCGCAGGAAAAGTTTTCGAACTGCAAGTGTAAGATCGCTCAGTAATATGAACAGTGAAATGATATAAAAAGAGAAAAAAATGTCAGGGGACTCAATTATAGAGTAAACAAGTAATTCTTTTTCTGAATTCTAGCATTTTGACTACACTGAAGAATGTTCTATAGCCAGAAGTAACAGATATATTTGTTGCACTGTAAATATGAGAGAAGCAGAATAATAATTGCACCTCTTTATATTTGCTCAACAGCTTTTGTAAATCTGAAATTAACGAAAACCTAGTATCGGTGTTAAACTTGCCAAAGCTTTTGTCATCTCAAAAGACTGTGAATATTGTCAGATATGAAAAAGTGACTATTAGTATAATAAAGCAGACAACACTGAAGAATTATGATGCAATGTATATATTTTTTATATTTGCACAACCAAATGCTCCTGAAACTACTGTATATCCCACACTTCTAAAATTAGCTTCATTCTCTCAAGATCAATGTTAGCATGACCTAAAGAGAAAGCACATGTAGGTAACATCTATATTTCATTCAACTAAAGACTTCTTTGATGCAGATTTCTTTGTAACTGACAACATTCTTCAGTCATAGATAAAAATGCCATCAAAAAGTGTAACAGACAAACTGCTCATTAGTTTCCTGGGGGTATGATGTCCACATTTATTACACCTTACTCTTGCACAAAGCATCTTTTTACTCAGATGAAAATACTGAGTTTGTCCAGACACACTCGCAGCCTATGTCTCAGCAACAAACTTCAAGGTAGCAAACATGATGAGTTACTGCAGTACTACTCAAGCTTTCAACTCTTTTTAAATACTCACACACTACAGAAAACTTACCCTTATAACATCAAACACATGCTTTTTCTTTCTTATTAAATCGGCCTTTAGCTACTTTCAAGAGACACACTAAAAAAGTAGAAATAAAAAAAGCCTAATATGGTGTTTCATATTTAAAATCTCACTCCGAGAGCTTTTATTGTTACCTCAGAGTGTGTGACACATGGAAACTCAAGTCTGTATGAGGCTGATCTCACCTGTCAGAAGCTTAACCACAAAGGCTTCACAAGCTCTGTGGTCCTACTGTAACATGTATATCTCTTATTTAGTGCAGAAATCTCAAATATAGATTATGAGAAATTGAAGCACTAAATACCTTAAAGCTTTAAGAACTTCAGATGCAAGCACTCAATTTTTGAAACACAAACATACGAAATACCAGTATGAAATGCATGTAACTGCATATGCATTTAAAAGTGAACATAAAGATACAAATTACAGCTGTGCTGTCTTTGTGATTTAAGAAAGAAATCAGCACCAACCTGATTTCAGTTTTCAGATTTACCGAATTGAACAAAGCCAAATACAGCAATAATTTGTCCACTGCAAGCTGTGTTTCAACCATGCTGGCAGTGGAAATGTGACTAACAGAATGGAAAGTAATCATTGTATGGATAAATTATAAATTAGTTAACCACAGATTACAACTAGGAAATTAATGTTTGAAAACATAATAGTTGTGCCAAAAACCTTTACACTGTAGTTCAAAAGAAGATTATATTTAATTTGAAGGGTTACATTAAGAAAGTTTTTTTTTAAATTAAAATCTGCACAAAACAACCCCTTGAAACTATATCTAAAATAACCAATCCATTAGGAGCTACTTACAAACCAGAAGGCAAGCTGTTGATGGTGATGCCAAATATATACTGAGCGATTTCTACAAGGAGAAGATCAAACAAAGCTGAGAGCATCCAAGCACCCAGTAAAAAGGACTGGAAAGAAAAATTTAATTGGATTAATTCAAGATTTTAAAAATAAGGTTTTAATGTGTCTCTAATTAAAAGAAGAAACAAGGAAACCACTATACTAGTTCAATTAAGACAAATAAAATCTTTAGCACAACCTCATTCCAGATCTACATGTCTAGATACTGAAGAATGAAGAGTTAGATTTGTTAGCAAAATTAAATTCTATGGGTCTGATAACTTTCAACTGATACAGCTGCAAACTTTAATATTAATAATCCACTGACTGCAAGATATTATCAATATAAATTTAGATTTATAGAAACCAAATTCTCTTTAAAATCCTTTAACATATATTTCTATACAAGATGTTAGTAATAAAACTGCAATATTAATCCAAGACTACAAGATTCTAAACAGAGTAGAAAACAGTTTCTGTTAAAAAAAATGTAACTTACTGAAAATTTTCTGCTGCCATATCTTCTTTCAAATATTCTAAAGTTGTAAATGAGCAGACTGCTGCAGAATGTGTCTTTCAAATCAAGACATATTGTTCTCCCACATACAAGTCTCCAGATCTAGAAGGTTAAAGATCGTCATGTTAAGCCCTCTTCCTTCAAGGAAATTCTTTACCGAATTTGTGCTCAGGGTGAATCTAATACTGAAGTCAGATAACAGAAATGCAGTACATTTAAGGAGGTAAATAAAACAAGTAGAATGTTATGGAGAGTTCAACAAGTCTGTGTAAAAATAAAGTATTTTCAAGGAAGAGGTCTACCTGTTAAAATAAATCTCCAGCTGAAATGAAAAATATATTTTTAAGTCCCTAGTTCACGTTAAAACCCTAGTAAACTGTAGAATTACAGAAAAAAAAAAAAGTGACCTCCAGATACCAACTAGTACACTGTACTGCTCTAAGCAGGTCTAATCAGATCAGCTTGTTCAGGGCCATGTCAAGTCAAGTCTTGAACACCTCCAAGGATGGAGATTCCACAACCTCTCTGGGCAACCTGTGCCAGTGTTTGGCCACCCCCAAGGTTTCAAAAACTAAGCCAAATCCTTACATCTAGGCATAATTTCCCATGTTTCATCTTCTGTCTACTACCTCTTGCACTACCTCAGCGCAATACCTCTCTCAGCAGAATCTGGCTCTAGCTTCTCTGTAGCTTCTGATCAGGTACTTGTAGATAGCAGTAAGGTGTCTCCTTTTTGCCTTCTCTTCTTGAGGCTGGGCAGACCCAGTTCTCTCAGCCTCTCCTTGTATGTCACATGCTCCAGGCCTCTGACTGTCTTGGTGGCCCTGCTCCAGTCTGTTCATATCTTTCTTGTACTGAGGATCCCAGAACTGCGCACTTGTGAGATCACATCTAGAGCACTGTGTCAACTAGAGGAGCAGGGTCACTTGCCTCGACCTACTGGCCATGGTCTCACTAATACAGTCCAGGAGATGGTTGGTCGCCTTGGCTGCAAGAGCACACTGTTGACTGCTGTTGTCCACCAAGATCTATGGGAGTCCTTCTCTGCAGAGCTACTTCCCAAACACTTGCCTCCCCCAAGCCTGCACTGTTGCAGTCTGGGGTTATTCCATCCCAGAAGCAGGACTTCCCACTTCCTGAAGTTCCCATCAGCCCATTTCTTGAGCTGGCCAAGGTCTCTCTGAATAGCAGCCCTGCCTTCCAACATATTGACCATTCCCAGCAATTCTGGATCATCCACAAACTTGCTTAGAGTGCATCCCATCCCACCATCCAAATTGCTAATGAAGACATTAAATAGTCCTGGTCTCAGTACTGACCCCCAAGGGGCCCTCCTCTAATTAATACATGCCAGGTGGACTTTGCACCAATGACCATAACTCTGTTAAGAGTTCAGCCAGTTTTCCACCCATCTTCTTGTCCAGTTATTCAGTACATACCTCATCAATCTGGCTTCAAGGACACAATGGGAGACTGGGTTGAAAGGCCCTGATAAAGTCAAGGTATGCAAAATCCACTGACCCCCTGCAGTGGTCTGCAGCACCACTTGCCTCCTGGAAGAAAGCAGCCAGTTGGTCAGGCATGCTTTCATAGAATCACAGAATGGTTGGGGTACGAAGGGACCTCTGGAGATCATCTAGTGTGACATCTTCACTCAAAACTAGAGCAGGATGTTAACTGACCATGTCCAGTCTGGTTCTGAAAATCTCCAAGGATGGAGACTACACAACTTCTCTGGGGAACCTGTTCCTCTGTTTGATCAGTTGAACAGATAGCCTGTAGCAAACACTACCACCAAAGCTGGCTGTGCTCGTCTGCTCTCTAACCTTGACCCATAAACTCTCAACTTCCTCATGTCCTAAGATAAAGCTCTGCACAATCCCTGCTCCTTCACATAAAAAGCAATTCCCTTCCCTGCCTGTCCTTCCTAAAGAGCTTGTACATGCCTGTTGCAGCACTCTATCACATGAGCTAAGCCACCACATCTCAGTGACCCCAACGAAATTGTAGCCCTGTAATAGTATATGACCTTTAATTCCTCTTATTTGTTCCCTATGTAGCATGCACTAGTGTACAGACACTTCAGAGAGGCACCCAGTCATGCTGATTTCCCAGAAAATGTATGGGAGTGTTCCACATGATGCTGTCCTGTAGGCACTTCCTTCTTTAGCTGCACACACTTGAAGTAGCTCCTTTTCAGTCCTGTTTTGTTGATTACAAGATCCTTTCTATTTACATCACCCTGTACCCTTTGCTGGCTAACCCAGTCCACTGCCTCCTCGCTTGACTCTGGGTTGCCATCTCCCTCCTGTGCTGTTCCTGTCTTAAAGTTCTCCTCATCAGGCTGGCCTGCCTGTTAGCAAAGATGCTTTTGTCCCACGTGGTCAGGTAGGCAGTCTTCAATCCTCAGAGAAGGTCTCATGGGCACAAACCCCAAAATGCTGTTGCTGACACCAGCTGTGTAACCAATTGTGAACCACAGGATCTGTACACTTCACCCTGGTTGGCTGCTCCCAGTTACCTTTGTGTCCTGCATGTGTTGAGAAATGGCTTCTAAAAAGATTTGCTCCACGGCCTTCCTAGGGACCAAGGTAAGGCTGAGTGGCCTGATGTTACCTGGATCCTCCTTCCTGCCCTTCTTGAAGATGGGTGTGATGTTTGCCTTTCTCCAGTCATTGGGTAACTCCACAAATTGGCATGACCTCTCAACAATGCTAGAGAAAGGACTCGCAATTACATTTCCAGCTCCTTTGGCACCCTCAGAGGCAACTTGTCTGGTCCCATTAACTTGTGTGTGTATAGTTGCGTTGAGTGAGCCCTAACTCTATTTTTCTCAACAGTGGATACTACATCATGCTCACAGACTATGCTAGGAGGCTTAGGGACCTTGGAGACCTGAAGGCAAAACATGCTAGTACAGACTAATAAATATATCTGCCTGAACAACTCAGCCTTTTGCATACCTCTTGTCACCTAGGTCCCCTGCCACAATGAGGACTGGGCCCATACTCTCCTTAAGCCTTTCTTTTGCTGCAGATGTACTTAAAGAAACCTTCCTTGCTGCCCTTCATCTCCCTCACTAGTTTTCATCTGAGCTTTGGCTCTCCCAGCTCCTTTTCCTAAGCCACAGCCTGCCAGTCATTCTCCACTCCCTGGAAGTCCAAGTGCCAATATGCTACCAGAGCCTTATGTTTCTCAAGGTCTTTAGGCCTCAACCAACGCTTCTGCCTCTAACTTCCCCTGGATACCAAAGGACTGAACAAGAAGAAAGAAGTGCAACCTCACTGTCCTAGCTGTCCCATGTCAATATGCCCAAAGTTACGACCTAGCCAGTAGCTTGAGTACCATCCCTCCTGAAGTCCAAACTGGCAGGGCTGTGACCTTGCAGCTGAACATTTCATGATACACATTAACCAAACAGCCCTCGCATAGACTATGAAAGGCTTCTAAGTCTAACTGTGCATGACTTTAGCCAGCCTAAAAAATACATAGATCTAATGTAATCAAGAGCTTTCTTTACTGCTCTTGAAGGTCCCCTTTATGGAGATAAAGACCTTTTAGTTTTGGACAGTACATTATTTTGCCTTCCAAACCAAAAGCACTATTCTGCAACTGCACATTTTATTTCTTATGCTCTCTACCAGCTTTAACAAGTGCTAATATCCAATATCCAAAATATCTGTTCAGCCCCTGGAAAAATTCCATTCTATTAAACTCATGCCCCTGGATGCATTTATTCTAAATGAATTTTCTTTTAAGTGTTCTCATTTGAATATTAGCATCAGACAGGAGTTAAACAATCTGCTCTCCCTGATCTCAGAGATACACAGCTATACAGTATATAGCTTACTCCAAAGACCATGACAATAAATGAAAAAACAATTTTGGGGAAGAAAAAAAAACCCCAAACCCACAAATTCCCTAAAGCACCACAATAAAAGTATCAAAGCTTCTACAGATAGTTGCAAATATTTATGCTTAAGACATAGTAAAGATGGTTTCTTCAAATAAAACACAGCTACTACTGTTTTTCAGCAGATCAAACAAATGGAAAGAGAGGACTCTTCCAAAGACAAACTGCAAAACAAACGAATAAGCAAACAAACCCCAAACCCACAAAATTTCCATTTAAACCTTGAGTAGTTTCACAGCCTTTCTCCTCTCCCTCCCCAAACACTTGGTTGTAACATTTTTAAAAGGCAGACATTCATTTATGTGTTTTTGCTGTAGAGCATTAGCAAGACACTTGGAAAATACAAGCAGTGCTCTTACATAGTTGTAATCCACATCATTACAATAAAGCTCTTGTTCTTGACAAGAAAGACCACAGAGAGTGCAACAGCACAGAGTATCACTAACTAGGTCTAATAGTTTTTTAAGGTTTATATGCTACAGTTGACATTCTCAAAGGCATTAAGTTGACTACATACCTTTTTTTGATCTAACTGTAAAACATGGGGGGTAAGATAATCACAGAGGTATTTGCTGACCCTGCTCTGTTGAGCAGTAGTTTGCCATTTCCAAAAATGAAAAAAACAAATCCCCCCAAAACTTATTAATCACTTCTAAGTGCATTATTTCGACAATTACAACTGATACGAGAGGATTCTTAATTAAGCTGAGAACAAAACCTTACAAGATGCAACACCTAAAAGATAAAGTATCTCAGTTTGAACTGGGAATGAGCAACAAATGTCTAGTAAGATAAATAACCAATTTAGCAGATTACTGAGGAGCGTGACAAACTCCCCCATCACTTGGAATCTTCAAATTAGAAGCAGCAGTTCCATTCAACAGGTGAATTTCAGTTTTCCACAACTACACCAGAAGTTACAGAGTGAAAATTATGGCCTCTGTTGTTAAAATAAATCATATACAGTCAGAGTAGCTGATCACAATAGTCCTCTTCAGCCTCAAAAACTAAGCACAATAAGCTATTGACATTCATATCAAAATACTTATATTATTACATGGGTTAAATCACACTTTATTCACAGCAAGCTTCCAAATGCCACTGACTGGAAGGAAAAATGATACAAACCCGATCATTTGCCAGACAAAAGAAAGAAGCGAAAAGCTGTGTTGAGAGTTTCAGATCAGTTTTTCTCACTTTTACCAAAAAGTGGCCTACTGGGGTGACATGAAAAAAGGAAAGAATAAACCGGTCTGCAAAAGTGAACAAAGGGAAACAACCAGAGGAGAAACAGACTGGGGATAATTGCACAGAAGAGCACAGTTTGCATTCTCTTTCCACACAAAACGAACTGACTCTTACCTGAAAATCCTCCTTTATAGCTTGTAGGTTATACGCAAAGAACTTCTGATAATGTTGGAAGAGCAGAGCCAATAAAATTGAGATGGCACTTGGGACTAATAGCAGACTCTTTGACAAAGGTGCTTTATCTTAAAGACAAAAAACAAACAAGCCCTTTTAGAGAAAAATCTCTCACATTTAAAAAGTGACATATTTAAACAGGTGATTGTAAAAGATAGTAGCAGTGGCACCACCTTGACTTTTTATCTCCACAACTTCCCAAGTTCTCAACAACTTGCAAATAGACAGGAAAAAACACAGCAATCAAAGGAAGTCTTTGGAGATATTAAAGACACTTAAATATTAATCAGACTTTCTGTTTTCAGCATTCTCTCATGAAATTATTTGTTTGGCTAGAATGAAGCCAAAGATCATTATCCCCTATGCAGCCCTCCTAAGGCTCAATCATTTTTCAGGAAAAAAAAACATTCACTTTTTTTGGTCAGCAAAACAGACATGCAAATCCAGTCAGAACAAATACCTTTGTTTCCTTTGTATTAGGGATTAAAACTAGCTTTTATTCTAGAGGCTATGAAGCAGGAACCACCTGAATAATGCCAAGAATAAATTGACTTTCTCTTCACCACACTTGGATCCACCTTTCAAGGAAACATGTCTAAGTTAATTTACATGACATTCATCTTCCTTCCATTGAGTCATTACAATTATTAATAAAGAGATTAATAAAATCAGGACTTTTGTGAAATCAGAACTTCTTTCCCCCTCGTAGGATGACTTTCAGAAAGGACATTCAGAAGAAGGCAAGCAGAGAACATCTGCAATACACATTTACTATGAACCGTCAAGTGGAACATCCACAGCAGGAGTATACCCAGCAATTCATCCTAAGCTGTTAGCATAGTTGGTGCAACAAAACACAAACTCTTGCCCAACAATTCAAGCCAATACAGAAATTCTGAAATATTATTTCTTCTACAACTTTTCCCCTTTTCAGACATGCAATTTTAATCACATTTACTTCCTTCCCAAACATCCCAGTTATAGCATGGAATCTACTGATTTTCAGACAACTGATTTTTTGCAGGGTATTATGAAATCCGTAGCTCTGTTGTCATTTTTCTTAGATAACAGAAGGAGCAATAAGACTATTTAAAAAGTACTAGTGGGAAGTAAAGAGCGGGAGCACAGGAAGAACAAAACTGCATTTAAAAAAAGTGTAATACAGGAAACATTTAACACATATGCAGATGAACTGACTACCATGAATGATTCCGTCAACATCTGCTGCATGCTGGAAGAGTGAACTGCTAGAAAAGGAAGATGGTCATAGACACAATCATGGCACAATCCCACTGCCATTGAAAATACAATTCTTACTACATCATTTAAGCATGATCCTCATCCAAGTACTGATGACATCAGGAACAACTTTGATGGGCACTGCTAGCTGTTCTCAGCTCCCACCACCTTGAAGTTTGCAGTCTTCTGACATTCACCATGTGAAGAAAATATCTCTTCCTATGTGTATCATAATGTAAACTTGTACTTAAACTGCTTTCAGTCCATAGCCATACCTTTGAGTTCATTATTTAGAGACTCACTTTTCCTACTTCTTTTAAGCAATTAATGCCTTGAAGAACTATGCATTTATAGAAATTAGGCAGTGACTTGGATTGACACAGGTTGACATTACTCTGCTAACCATAAGCTCTACGTCTATGATGAGACACATCAGGAGGGCAGAAAGCCTGGCTGAACTTTTTTTAAAGCAAGAAAACTATCCGCCTTTCAATTTAGTATCTTTCTTTGGATTTTTTTGCTCTCCAAAAATAAGGCCTATAGTCTTCAGATGTCCATTTTTTAAATTATTCATTCCTCTGATTTAGCTCGATACTTCAAAAAAGTTTAAAGCCATCAGAGTACTGTAGAACACTGAGGGGAAAAAGGAAGCTGGAGCTGCCTGAAAGCTACTGTGCACACAATGCACATACATATTCCCTTGAAACCTGAGGCAATGCTCCCTTAGTTAACTTAACTTGGTTAAATTAACATTTCTTAACGTGAAAAGGTCAGTTTTATAACCACGATACAACAGAAATTTGAAAGTACAGCCTAAATCAGAATAGCAGTAGTAGTCACAACAGTAGACATTTCTGAACCAAAGTTTGGTAAGGCTTGTTATTTTACTATCAAATACATTTATGTTATTTCATGAGTTAAAATAAATTTTTACAAGAACTCACTCATCCTATACTACTTTTCACATAAGGATCACATTACTGCAAAAACCATGACAAGCAAATCAGTAGATTTCCCACCATGACTATGTTATTTCTAAACTGGTTTAATATTTAGATTTAGATTTTACTGTAATTTTCACATCATTAGATCATTTTTACATTACAGGTAATACACACTTGAAATACTTTAGCCTATCAAGTTCATTCCTGATTTGAATGCATGCAAAAATAACCAACCAACAGAACCTTATCTGTTTTCTCCAAAAGTCTGAACACACATTTTTATTATGAGCCTGCTTCTAGCTTTCAGCTTAGACACTTTAAACCTTGTTATACAGGCAAAGTACTTATTTTTAAGCATGTCAACATGTAAAAAACCACAGGAGTAACTAACCCATTAATGTGACAGTCACCCACAGGGAACATCACATGAGTAACGGAAACTTTACTCTCAAGCTTCTCAAAATGTCATCATGGCTGGTAAGTTTACTCTTGTGCAGTAAACCTAAGATAAACTCTTCCAGATAAATAATGCATCTCCTGAAATGTTTTTTTCCAAGTGTTTCACCATACAATGTAGTAGTTTGCTTTACACCTCAACAGCATATAGATCCTTATCAAGGACTGTGAGATCACCAATGAAGAAGCAACCCTCCCACTGCTGTGGAATGTCTCAACCAGTAAGACCAAAAATGACTAACAATACCAGATACTGCACGATCGGGCATTCTGACGTCCAAGTCAAATACCTTACTTAGAATGCAAAGGTAAAATTCAGAAAGCAAAATTCTAGTCTGATGGATTTGCAACTGCATGCAGGATGGAAACGTGCACTACCAACCTACCAGAGTACCAATGTCTACTGGCAGCACCAATGTAAGTGTGCACAAGGAGAAAAACACAGTGCCTCTATACCATGTACTCCTTGAGTGGCAAGTCTTTCAAACAGCAGGCAGTAATAGCATTGGTGCAGCAACACACATACTGAGCTTCCATCTAAGTGAACAGAGAAATTTTGTAATAACCAGCAGAACACGCCCGTGCTATGATGAAGAGCAAAGAACTAGCTTTCGCTACAGATTTTTGCTTCCCCCTGATGCAATGGAGAAGTTCTCCCCAAAACTTCCCCCATAACAGGCAAGTGTCCCAATCTTTGTGCTACCACTGCACAATGTGCAACTGATCCTAAAACGAGACATGAATGAGAAAACCACCTCTAAGACTCCACATTCCACCCCTGCACTCATCACAAAGCCCCCAGATCCTCTTCTTCCACAACCTACTACTTTCCTGGCTGCCAGTACCACTTTCACAGTACAGCGAGTTAAGGTTTAGATGTGTCCATCTGTCACACACAGAGGGGGAGGTGTATGGCACAACTGCTCAGGCAGTTGCAGCTTCAAATGCCACCATTGCACTAATGAGAATACAAAAGTTGTGGCAGCAGCAACAGTTTTTGAAATTATTTCCTGTTCCCTGCTTGTTCACCACTCACAGGTGAAGGGAGATAGCAGATGAACACGTCAAAACAGGCAGCCAGGCCACGCTACTTTTTCAGAAGGGCTTTTCGGGGAACAACTTCATCTCCTGAACTGCTATTCTGGGCCCGAGACTCAAAGCGTTGACTTGGGGGAGGACCTCATTGCCGTTGCCAGCTGATGAGCAGTGGCTGCAGAAGCTCAAAATAGCTCAGGACGTTTTTTGTGGGGATCCCTACTGAGCTCACACCACAGCTGCAGATAAAACATGCTGTGTAACAGCTTTTTTTTCCACTATCATCTGCAAACTTCCCAAACCCAGCTGCTATGAGGCAGATACGCTGCTTTCATACAGATAATTAACTGGTGGGGGCTATGATAATGGCACAAAACATGCATGAACCATTTTTTAACGCTGATACACAAGATCTGTAAGTCTTTTAAACTGCAACTGATGCACATGTGAATGCACAGTACTTCCCAAATGCACTGATGGAATCTGTATTTTGGGTGGTTGTTTTTCCTGCATTAAGCCATCATGCAGATATTCATCTACTGTATTCCAAGATCTGTCCAGGAACCTGCAGCAGGGTCACCAGCCTACAGTGATTTTCAAAATGGTCAGTTTTCAAGGATTCTTGCCTACTATTTTCCCTTCAGATGCAAGCTTGCTACACACCAAACAGCAGCATGAACACCTCCTCCTGAATGCTTGGAAACCTTGCTTATCCTTTCTTGTAATGGTTGATGAAACCCGCTGTCAGATATTCAAATCTGAAAAGTAATTTTTAAGTGCTTCCTAGACACCAGTGTGTGCTTTTGGGAGACTGGAACAATCTTACCAGATCTGAGAAGTAAAAGCTTGTCTTTTTTACAACCACGCACTGAGTCCTGAACAGTAGCGAAGAACAAATGATCCGTGTGCCATGGAGGGAGGATGGCAAGAGATACGGACACGTGTAATACTGCTTGAAGAATCTGGAAGACACCGGGACACTGCGTGCTGACTGGCAGGATGGAATTTAATCATATGATGATTTTTTAGAGTTCGTTAAATCTGGTATAAGTGTTTTTCTAATATTTCATCCTTTGGAAAAAAATATGCAATACCAGAGGACCCTTCAAAAGCAGTGAAGTTACAGCAGCCTGAAAGTATTACATGACAGAATGAAGTATTCTGGGTCAGGAAAGCAGCTCCTGCCCCTGCTCCTGGCACAGAGCACAGACACAGGAAGGGGATTCTGTGCTCAGACTGTCACTTCACAGCATACTCTGGTGGTTAATCATCATGACGCCTGCTTACTTGATGCAGAAGCTGAGAGGTGAATAACATTAGTATATAAACTAAGAGAGTCAATAAAAAAACCAACTGTGCTCATGTTTTAAATCTGTTTTTAAAAGGCACTGATAAGACTGTAATCAAACCAGGTATCTATACATTTTACTGTTTAGAAAACTGCTGGTTTTCACCTGGATCACGAACTATAAAAGAATGAGGAGCTACAAAAAGGAAAAAAGAAGAAAACCTTTGTTTCTAAAAGGAACATTTGAAAAGAAACAGAAAATTAAATGGGTTGAATTTAAAAAAAAATGTTGAGCAGCTTCTTCCAACCACAGAGCACATTACTGTATTACTAATAGCATACGCTGTCAGAAATATCAGGTATGGCTACACCACAACACCATGTGGAGATCCCCACACTAGCTTGAAATGAGCTAGCTCTGCAGCAGCAACAGCAGAATAGCCACATTTTTGTAGTGTTCAGTGCATGGCTAATTGAACTAATGTGGCTATGCTGCTCCCAGGACTCAAGCTATTATTTTGAGCCAGGTTGCACTGTGGCATGCTGATGCACAACCTAATTTGTTTTCCCATACAGTACTGTACTGCGTAATACTGTTTCCCATGGAAGTCTCATATATTCAGTACATATCTCATTTTTCCTTCAGTCGTACCACAAAGCATCAACTTACATGCCTTTATTATTTTCCCGTCACCCGTGTACAACACAGTTCAGTCTTGCAGGTTATGCAAACAGAGGAGCACAGCGCTCCCTTCTTGCCTTGGGGATTTTTAACAAATTTCTAGCACTGCTCTACAAGGTTCAGAGAGGGGTAAAAGCATAAGTTGCATTAGCGGAAACGCTTGCACCCAAGTTCAAAGGACTCTACTCCCTAATGCTACATTGAAGCAGCTTGTGTGTAGTAGGCAAAATAGTCAAATATTTTCCAGATGTAGCAAGTAGATAGTCTTTAAAACACGGATTCAGATTTTACCTTAATAAAGACTGGCTCTAACAGGCTTTCCTACTATACTCATGTGCAGTATTGCACATAGCATGATGAATATTGGGAGGAGATATTACAACGTCTGCAGAAAAGTTTGGTGTTGGTCTTACAGGCTTAAGTTGTCGGAAAGGCCGTCTTATAACAGAAAGCTTTCTGTGTAACATACTTTGCTCCTGGGACACAAAATGTGGGAGAACAAGCAGCACTACAGTAAACCAAACAGCCAGCCCACTGTCAGTCTTCATGCACTCATGCTAGCCTTCGCAGAGCCACTCAAGTGTTTCAGCAGCATTCTCCGTGGGACTGGAGCTGCTGACAGACTGCAACACGAGAAACCAGTCTAGGTCCAGCACCACAGCCCACCTCTCAAGCTCTCCCTGAAAGCCACGTGGTGCAGCGTGCTTCCTGAGCACACTGCAATGTTGCTTTACAAGCCAACAAGCTACTTGGTGGTCTGCACAAACAGATACATAGCTGAACTGCTTCTATTAATCAAATCAAAATACTCAAGTTTTTCATTTACTTACTAGCAGTCAAGGTTTTGTTCATGCATGCAGCCAAAGATTTTCCCAAATAAATGTTATAAATAGACTGCGCTAAAAGGAAGCTACAGTGTCTTCCTCCCACGTTTCCTAGAAACAGTACATTAGTATACTGCTAAGTGGCACCAGTCTACAAAAGTTGTCATCTCTTCTGCCACATTTTGTCATATTAAATGTTTGTAATATTAAACAATAAGTCAATTTTAACAAGCACACAGGTTTTTTATTTGAATTAGAAGCTATCTTCTCTTAAGCACAGTCACCATGTCTGGGACATAATGAAATACAGAATTGATTATAGGCTCAATCAAAGTTCTGTGGATTTTTACAGCGAGAGGAGTAACATATGGGGAAAAATGCCCAAAACTTAATATTCTAATTATTCTATGAATATTCTAATAAATTCTATTCTACATGATGAGGGTCAAAGACCAGTTTAAAAACTCGTATTTAGCGAGCAACTTTAAAATATCCTAATCATGTCAGTCTCCCTAGAGTTTAAAGGAAGAGGGTTTTTTTCATCAAAACTTAAGAGATGCGAGAGGCTGCCTAGAAACACAGGGAAGTCAGGATGCAAGAAGGGGAAAAGGGACTAACGGAGTATCAGTCAAAAGGAGATAGGCTTCATAGGACATTGCTTATGAATTTGATCTGTGTACTGCATCAAATAAAACATAAGGATTCTGGAGTTATTTCTCTCATTTAGACCTCTAATGACAACACAGACTATTAAATTAGTCTTTATATTGTTTCCACAATCTGGTGGAACTACGTGATATAGTCCACTGTTACTTACTTTGGTTTATTCTTAAATTAGCAGAAGAAATAATAAACAAAGAATTCAAAGAACATGAACAATAATACCCTCATCCAAGATTCTATCAACCGTCATCAGATAAATATTACCAGATGGAGCAAAAAATTCATAACCAGATGCAACTGCTGCCACTACGAGCCACTGGTTACTCTCCTATCTCTTTCAGAAAAGTATTAAATGCAATGTCAAGCATTAACTAACTAGAATAATTTACAAGAACCAAACCACTTCAAATTAGTCAAATGATTATTTAGGTTCTGATAAGAAGTTTCAAGATCAAAAAGTTTTTAAAGAGGTCAGAAGGCCAAACCCAGACTTGTTTCCAGAAAACTAGACACAAGGGTGTCTCTGGCACCCTTGTTAAAATACTTCACATAAGAAGCCCCTTAAGAATCACATTACCAAAATGTAGTAGAGCTCTGGAGACATTTGTTGTTTGTTTGTTTTCCCACTGCTAAAGAGGGGAATTCTGCAGAAAGGAGTGAAAACAAGGCAATGGTGAAAACAAGACAAAAAAGAATACAGTAACCTCTGACATTTTTACCACTACACCTATGTCTGAAGATGCTAAAGCCCTCCATCTACTAGAAATACAATCAACAACTGGCTCACTTTCTAAAAAGACCTAAGATACAGATGGCTAAAAAGAGCTTAGCATTACTAAATTTTACCAGATGGTATTGCGATATGGCTTTAACCAAACATGATAGATGTTAAGAAGTTGGTCATAGATGGCACAAGAGCCTTCAGTCTGACCTGGCATGATCATTCTCATCACTGTTGAACCACGTATCTGCTTATCTAGGGTCTCTGATACAGGTCCATTTATCCATCAGCTGTGCCCCAATTGTTTGTCATTGCCCTTCTGCCAGAGGTTACTTCTCCCCAGGCCCAGTGGCAGAACAGAACATGGACACGTATAATGCAACACCACGCATTACCTGGCTAAACCATCAGATTCTGCACATCAGTGACTGAACCCTACATACCTGCTGCTACTGCAGGAGATACGTCTGCTACAAAAGCAGAAACAAAAGTCTGATGGCACAGGGACATAATCTTAAACTGCCACCGTTGTGCCCTAGGTGAGCATATGCCACTGCCACCTAAAACTCAACTAGAGTTTCTCAGTGCACCTCTACCAGCCAAGTCTTACTGTGAAAAATCACTTTAGGTCAACAGGTTAAGTTCAGTAAGAGTTCAGTTGTACCAGAAGAAAATCTAAAAAAAGGAAAAATGTTTACTTTTTGCAGAATGATAATTTTGTCTAGGTTTTTCTCCTAGCACAAATATGTTTCTTACAACTACAATTTTCCACTCATCCTGATGATTGACCGATCTTGGAAAAACTTTGAAATACTGACCATGACTTCCCAGCCACTCAGCCAAACCAGGATACTTTTCACCCCACCTTCCTTCTCATAGAATAATACACAGACGCATGCCACCAAAAGGTTGTTCTTCAACAGTATCTGCTACTGGGGCGCGGAATCAGGAGCTGCAAATCAAGTACAGTGGTACTAGGTCCATCTGCAAAAATACTCCCCCCCACCTTTGGAGACCTCAATCAGAATACAGCTACAACTAATACCCCTTCCTAAATGCCAGAATTATGCCCACCACCCCACCACCCCCCCAGCTGGAGGGTGCTTTCACACTCAGATTTGGATTTTGCGTGAAGCATGAGTTAGTCAGCAAAGTTTTGACTCTGTCCCAGCCTGCTCTGAGGACAGCAGTGCCAAAGTCCGCGCCGCAGCCCGTCCGGTCCTTCCGTCGCCGTTTCTCAAGGCAGCAGGTTCTTTGTCCTGTGAACAGCTCAGAAGCCGCCCTCGGCGCCTGTGAAGCCCGATCAGGTAGCGCTGGGGGATGGAAGGAGTGACATAGGCTGTGTGTGAAAATAAAAGCGAGCTGGAAGCCCGTTTGTCCTTAAACCTGCCTTACCGGTGAAGTGGCTTAAACAATAGCCTTCTCCGCACGTTAAAAGAGTTCTTTCTCTCCTCTGATACGCACCTACATATTTAGATACACATGGGAGACGCGGTAAAGCCCGAGTTTAAAAGTCAAGCCCAGGCCAGGCTGCGCCCGCGGGGAAGGGGGAGGCGAGGCCA